ACCTTAACACGTTAATATACGGCATACGTATCTACGTAGTCCTTTATATCCCGCTTACTATTTAGCTAGTAGTATATACGCGATAGTAGCTCGTGCGACCTCTCTATACTATAGTAACCGGCAAGCTCACTATTACAGTATCGCTTAAGAAGCTCTTATCTAATCGATTGTTTAGCGGGGATATAGTATCTGCCCTTGAACTTTAAGTAACCCTTGTCGTCGATCGACTAATTGTTACTCTTACTAGATCGAGTCTTTCGCCTACTTATAAGCTTATCGATACGTTTAGTAGTAAAGGCGTCCCTCTGCTAAGTACGTAATAGCTTATCTATAAACGATTAACTATCCCTATTTGTAAGGTTATTTAATAGCACCCTCGCTATTAAACGAGGTACGTATTATATATATCTAATAGTACTAGTAGCCGGATTAACTATAGTAGTACTTTAATCGCTATTACTATATATAGCGATATCGACTAGGGAGTTATTATAACTTCTCCTATCTGTGTCCTTAATACGCACTATTAATATAGTAAGAGTATTAATATACTTTAAGCCGTCGCGGAGTCTAGTAAGCCGCTTATCCTACGCTTGCTTATTAATAATACGGGCTATAGCAATCTTATACTATAGGGTTAGAAACAAAGAATTAATATGCTAGGTCTCGCTATTGTAATTAGGCCGCCTCGATAGGCTATCGGTAGGGTTACTTACGCCTAGCCGATATAATATATTAAAATCGAACCTAGCGAGGTAGACGGCCTATCTAGCCTATCGACCTATAACCCTAGTAACCTTCGTAATTCTACGGAGGTTGTTATAGTCCGTATAGACCTAAATAGGGTACTAAGCACTATCGAGATAATAGCGCTAGTACTTAAAGGCTTCTACGATTGCTAAGAGCTCTTGCTCGTAGGTCTCGTACCGACGTTCTATATCGATTATCTTTTATAAAAAGAAGGCGATTAGGTGCTAGTAATTGTTATTAGCCTGTTGTAATATAATAGCTAATATAGCGAACTATAAAGCGTTAGTCTTAATACGGATCTACTTACTTAGTACGAAATAGTGCAATAAGGGGACTTTAGTAAAGCGCTGCTTCGAACCGTTAAAAGCGGCTTATGCTTTATTAGTCTATTTGAACTCTCTAGACGGGTTAGCCTTAGTTTTAGTAAGCTCAGTTAGGGGCATTATATGCCGTAAATAGCCCTTAATAAAGCGACGATAGAAATTAGCGAAGCCGAGGAACGACTATAGCTCCTTAATTAACGTAGGAATAGGCTATTTAGTAATAGTTTTAATCCGATTAGGATTAGCCTTAACACCCTTAGTTAATACGAGGAAGCTAAGGAAGGCTACCTCCTTAGTAGCAAAGGTATATTTAGAAGGCTTGCAATATAGTCTATAGGTCCTTAGACGATCGAGTACCTTACGTACTATAGCCTAGTACTCTATAATATTAGGTAAATAGGTGTAAACTAGGATGTTATCTAGGTAAACTATATAGAGGTAGTCTAGTAGGCCTAATAGGGCCCGATTAATATAGGACTAGAATATAGTAGGGGTATTAGCTAGCCTAAATAGCATAACTAAGTACTCGAAATAGCTATAACGGGTATAGAAGGCTATTTTCTATTTATCGCCCTTGCGAATACAAATACGATAGTACGTATCCTTAATGTCTAGTATAGTATAGAAACAGGCGCTAGAAAGGCGGTCGAGGGTCTTATTAATAAGCGGAAGTAGACAGCGGTCTTTAATAGTAATAGCGTTAAGCCTACGATAGTCGACATATAGGCGTAGGCTACTATCCTTCTTCGGTACGAATAGGATAGGTACACTAGTAGGGCTGTTGCTATACTAAATCCGACTATTAGCTAGGTTTTTATCTAGGTACTTACGCAATATAGTAAGTTCTCGTTTACTAAGGTTGTAGAGGGGCCTAAAGGGGACCTCTTTACCCTCTATAATATTAATCTTATAATTAGTCTCTTTAAATATAGGCAATGTCGATACTAGGTAGTATTTAAATACATTAATATAGATCTCTCGAATAGGCTATAGTATACGAGCAAGCTAATTGGGATCTATACTATTAGGGGGTACAGGTTTATCGTTATCTCTACTAAGAAGGTTAGCCGTTAGATTAGCTAAGGCAGGTATTAGGTTGCCGATAAATAGGACCCGGATATCGTTAGGATACTCGCTAATATTAATGTGTTTAATGTCCTCTCTCCTAGCGATTCTAAATCGCTACTATTAACTGCCTAAGTCTATAACTATAGTATAGTACTTAAGAACAGGGTTGCTAATAACAATATCGGATAGAAGGTTGTCTATATCTACTGCGTAGGCAGTGAAATCTAGTAAGCGTTTATTGCCGAGGTCGTCCTTTAGAACTATAGGAATATAGTAGGCCCTATAGGTTAAGTGCCGAGCGTTATTAAACTAAGCAAGGGTTAGTATATTAGTTCTAGGCAATTGTCGAAGGTCTAATTGCTTAGCTAGGCGATAGCTAATAAGGGCGCTAACTAAATTGCCTAGGTCTAGTATAACCTTAGTCTTATAATTAGTGCTATACGAGTCCGATACGAGACAGGTGCGTGTAATAGCTAGTATAATATCGATAGTTTTACGCCGTACGAGGCTAATAGTTAGTGCGGCGCTTATTCTTTTTTTAACTAATAAGAAGGTTAGCCTATAGAGGTAGCGTTAGCTACTAAAAGGTGCTTTCGGTGCTTAGTAGCAGTACGGTTAATTCGGGCCTAGTCCTTAGGTTTGTCGCATTAGCCTAGTAGATAGCTAGTGCTATTATAATTAAAGCACTTCAATCCGGTTAGGAGGTTGCTATAGCTACTACTATTATTAGTCGAGCGATTAGTATTATAAGGATACAAGTCCCTTCTACGGCCCCTATTACGGCCTCCTCTATATAGCCGTCGGCTACGGCCTCTTCTACGGTCGTTGTTACTATTCCTATTGTTAGTATTGTTGTTCTAGTAGGAACCTTAGTTTCCTCCGCGGCTACGATAGGCAGCTAGGCGTATCTTAGATTCTAACCGTTATTAGAGCTAAACAGCTCGATTAGCTATTTCTACTTCGACTATAAACTAAATGCGTATTAGATTAGCCTGTTCGAATATACGGCGGCGGTCTAATTTAAGGACTAGCTCCTATCTCAGTTTAGGTCGTATCTTAGATATCTAGATAGAGTCGGTCTTAGGTAGCAGGTCGTCCTTAAGGGTCTTTAGGTAGGCCTCGAAGGATCGAGAGGTTTAGTTAGCCTTTTGTTTAGTACGTAGGTATTAGTCTTAGGCGTACTACTAGCGTAATATAGGGTTGCTAAGGGTATTTAATATAATAGTCTTGTAATCTTGCTATTAAATAGCGGTCTAGTCGTAAAGGGAATCAAAATAGTTATCCTATATACGCTTAGGGTTACCGTTAATATACTATATAGTATAGACAACTAAGGAATAGTTATCTAGCAACGCTCTCGGTATATTACGCTAGTTAAGCTTATAGTTACGAATATAGTTATTGTATTGCTTTCGACTAGAGCTATTAAACACGGTACAATCCTTAAGTTTTGCATCCTTCTTTTAAATAGCTAGTAAGGAAGGCCCTACTATTAGCTTAGTATTAGTTACTAGGGACTCCTATAGGCGGCGGATCTCGAGGAGATTATCCTTTAGCTATTATTCTTAGCGTAGAGCAGCGAGCCTATTCTAGGTAGCTTCTTAGAGTCTCGCTACTAGCTAGGGGCTAAAGGCTAGTTAGCTATATCGACGGTTAACAATATTACTAAGAATGTCGTTAATAGGCAATTCTAGATTATTACCTAGAACTATAGGTTCTTCGGCAGGCCTAATAGTAGGCTCTTTAGTAGTAGGCTCTTTAGTAGGTACTTTAGTAGGCACTTTAGTAGGCACTATACTACTAGCGTTATCGTTGCTAGCGCTACTAGCGGCGCCGCGGTTGTTGTTGCTTCGTAATAAGCCGGCTATTATAATAGGGGGTAGGACTAATAATATATTATAGCCCCTTATAGTACGGATATAGCGGAGTTAGTAGGTATCGGCCTAGTATACTTAACTTAGTATAATAGGCCGTATAGAAGGCCTTGCTTAATAATTGGTACGGTTGTTTTTAGTAGAATAGTACGTATAGGTCCCGTTCTTCGGGCGTAATATAGTTAAATCGATAGTTTTCGTAGCTATACCGCTAAAAGCTTAAAATAAGGACTATCTAGCTACTACCCTTAAAGGGTAGATCGAATACTATATAATAAGGGTTATATTAGAAGGTAGATAGGGTAGTAGTAGGTACAAGTAGTATTCGATAAGGAGCTAGAAGGAGAGGGAGGAAGGTAGGCAAGTTAGCCTACTACTAAACGCTAAGCCCTACCTAAGGTATTAAGACCCTAGCTTTACTCGAGCCCGGTTATATACTAATTACGTATAACCTCTTTAGTCCTAATAGTTAGATTGAATTAGATTAGATTACTTTAGAGAGAGTTAGATTAGATTAGATTAAATTGCAAAATTAGTAGAGATTAGCTAGATTAGATTAGATTAAATTGCTAAGCTAATCCGGATTGTAATCCCGGATTGATTGTAGACTATACTATAATAATAGCGTTAGACGTAAACTTTTTAAAGGTACGGATAATTCCTTTAGGTAGTACGCTAGCTTTAACTAGTTAGATCCCGTTTTTAGGGATTACCGCCGTCCGCTATCTCGCTTAATCGCACTATAGAAGCTATACGCTAGTACGAGGGTAGTAGAGCCTTGTTTGCTAGGTAGGTAGTATGCCTAGAATAGTTAGGACTAGCTATAGTATCTAATTCTATATCTATTATCTATTTAGTTCTTCTTTCCTATATTATTAATAATTTATTGTTCTACTAAGTAGCTAGTAAGGGCATTAGAGGTCTTTATACGATATTATTCTATATATATTACTAGCAATTTAGTCTTACCGAGACCGGAGCGGCTCTAGGTGCGTAGATTCTCGAATAGCCAGAGTAGATTCTCGAACAGTCTTGCCCCGGAGATTCTCGCTTGACCCCAGTCCCCTTTCATTCACCTCAAACGCCAACCTGCGTTTGTGTTCCCCTCTCAAATGCCGACGTTTGTTCACGACTCAGAAAATGCCGGGTACAAACGTACGTCCGCGAAGGAGGTACAAATAGCCCGCCCCCAACAGGACGAACTTTCACATCCCCACCATATCTCATCATCGTCTCCTCTACGACCCTAACAAAGAACAACAATGGTCTACACAATGATTTGGAATGTCGACGGCGGCTGCCGCGGCAACGGAAACGCAAACTCCAGGGGAGCAGCAGCAGCGGTGCAGATAAAGAGATACGGCAAATACACCGCCTGGACCCGAAAACTCCCCGCCTACCCACGCCCTACAAACCAAAGAGCAGAAATCACAGCCATCATCATCGCATTGGAACAAACGCTCCGGAAATTCAATGAACTTGATGGATCCCCTTTCCTCGATGTCACGATACGTTCTGACTCGAGATATGCTGTGAATTGTATGAATGATTGGATTTACAAGTGGTCGAGGAATGGGTGGGTGAATGCGAAGGGGAATGAGGTTGTGAATAAGGATTTGATTCAACATGCTTCGAGGCTGGATGATAGGGTGAAGGAGTTGGGGTGTGTGAGTTATGAGTGGATTTCGAGGGAGGAGAATGAGGTTGCGGATGAGTGTTGCAATAGGATTTTGGATGGGGGTGGGGATTCGGAGGGTTATTCTTCGGATTAGGAGGGTTAGGAGGTGTGGATGAGATGTGGTTTGGCTGAGGGATCTCGAAGCTGCGATGACTGGACTTGCGGCGTTCCGCGAAGATGTTATCAGCTGAGTGTTGTGAGCAGACTCGTGTCATGGCGATCGGGATGTCGAATGGGCGGAAGTTAGATCCGGGGTGGTGATTGAATGTAAACTAACGCGGAGGCCAGGCGTGGAATGCGAGGCGCAAGATGAAGATCATGGATTGGTCATGTCAACTGTCATCGCAGTCGTCGGTCTAAATGTATTAATCATTAAGGCGCGGAAATGGACACTATCTCGCATTAAAAGGACCAAATCCCCGGCGCAGGATCGGTGTTGTTTCCTGGCACCAATCTATGACACATGTGTCAGCATGCGACGCTCGTCAATCGGCGTCATCAATGTACTCACCCATACTGAGCAAAGACCTGCTTGACTCTTGCAACAATCGCTTCCGTAGCAGGAACGACAGTACCATTCGCACGGGCTGTCGTCGGCGGGTACAGCCAAGGAACGGCTTGAACTTCGGAATAGGTGTTGTACATCTTGTTGATTTCCCATTGCGAGAATCCGCCTCCGATAAAAATTGCTTTTGGCTTTTGTGGAGATGGAGAGTTGAAGTTGGAACCAAGACCGGACACCGGTATTGAGTACTCTCCTGTCACCAATGGAGGAAATTCGTAGATGCCGCTGGGTGCTGAGTTGACGACGTGGACGACTGGAGTGGTGCGTTAGTATGAGTGGTGAGATCGTGGGTTGTCTGTGGACATAAGATGTACCATCGTATTCCGGAAGCATGAGACGAATGAACTCTTCACTGATATCAGCTTCCTTGCCGCCGAGGGCTATTGGAACAGGTGCGAATGCATTTCTGCTCGTTGGTGCAGAAGCGGCGATGTGGGCAAGACCGAAAGCGGCCAGCAGAGCTGCCGAGAAGTGTTGTCGAAGGCAAAGCATTGTGTCTGACGAATTTCACGCATTCAACGCAGGGCAAAGCCATCACCCATATGTATATGTTATTTTGATGTCTGGGGACGGCACTGCTAGCCTAGGGCTGGTCTATGACGGGGCCAAGTGTGCCACGGGGGTTGGTTCCTGATTGATCAACGAGCTGCCCAATGTCGCGGAGGTGCAATGGCGTGGTGTTTGAACCACAAAAAAAGTTGTGCCCAGAGGAGGCCTGCAAGATTGTCCTAGCCTCGCATACCCCGTGCTCGACCAGCCTTTTCTTGTCACGCCAAGACCGTCGCTGTGCTGGAGCCGGTGCCAAGACGAGGTCGATAGCGTCCTGGCGAACGCTTTCCGATGGGAATTCTCCGACCTCTGTCAGAACGGCTGGTGATTCATCATGTCAATGAAGAAATACTGCCCGAATGTTGGTCATCATGGGCTGAAGCTCGATCATCTTGGGATCTCTTGCCCAGCAGATGGCTATCTCGTCTCACATTCATCCATGTCACGCCCTGCATACTGTCTAGGCGCCAATGCGGCTGACATGTGATAACGACCAGGAAATCTGGAGGAGTTGGATGTGGAGCCATGGCGCGTAGGGCAGTGTCATTTTGGATCTCTGTCTTTGTTTGCCGTCCGAAGCGAAGTCCCGAACGGGCACACATGCAGCCTATGCAGGTACCGATGGCTGTCAAAATTGTCGTACAATCTATCTTTGCCACGTTCATTTCAATATTCCCATGTAGCGCAGGATAGGAGGTCGAGACTCTTCGCCGCATCTACCGTGCTCCGGACCAGACTGCCATTCTCATGCGGACCTTCCCGGACTGTGAAGCCGGCGTGCCCGAGAAGATGATCGTCGTTGGCTTTACGATCGGACTGCTGACGAGGCTGATTCATAGAGTGAAATTAGGGATGCCAACTCTCATGTGCAACCCTACTGTACCTGCAGAATCCGTCGTTGAACAAGTGGACGTTGATGGACCACAACTTTGAACCACTGCTGAGTGGCTTCGTTTCCATGCTTAGCAACGCCGCAAGATCCATTTCCAAGCATTTGGTGATGACGACGTCTCAACAAGCGCCTTGTCACGCGCGGCGAGACACGGCTGAAAGCTGGAAATATGTAAGATCGAGAGTCCATCGACAAGCACACTGGGCTTTCCGAAGATAGCACGAAAAGGGAACAGCTCATGTTGTGAGGTATGAAACGACAACCAACCGTAGGCATTCTGTCAATGTACAGAAAGGAAGACAGGTTTCTTCTCAAACTCTGCAGGGTGATACGTATAGAATAGCCATTGTGTGGCGTCTTGGCAAAGATCAGCTGACTGATTCACAACAGCTCAATTTGCCGCGCACGTGAAACAATACGGTACGACGGTGTCTTCATGAGGAGAAGGAAGAGTATATTGGTGGTATAATTCTCCTCCAACTTGTCATGGAAGCCTTGGTGGTACGCCCTATGCTCAGGCTGTTTTCGACTCTGATTCGTGCAGAAGCAAGATTGCATCGGCATCGAGTAGAGTTTCCCGGCTTAAGACCTCTTCGTCGAAGTACGCTGAGCTTTGCGAGCTCTCAATCTGCCGCCCAGCGCTCGTTCGTCACAATCAACGAAGGGCGCTGAGCTAGGAGGATCGATTCCAGCACTCCCTATGACACCCTATCTCCACTCAGACCAGTAACAAAGGGTGTTCGTGCATGTGACATAGAATCACGTGTTCCGCAGCAGACTTTTCTAAACCCGCAAGTAAACTTTCCAACCCCTATACTAATCAAATAAACTCCCGTATAGACTATACAACACCCTTTGTTACTAGTCTAATCCGTTTCTATCGGGTTTTAGTACGCGTATATAGATAATCGTAGTAGTAGGTAGATGCTATTAGCTATAATACTATTATATATCGGAAATCGCAAAATCCGCTACGGTAAAGCCCTACGTAGTTACGAAAACTATCTACCCCGAAAATCTAAAGAACTTAGGTCTACTACTCGCCGGGGAAAATCTATATATACGCGAAAATCGAATATCGCTTACTATATTAAAGCTAGACGCGTCTACCCTACTACGACCGTAGATCGATAAACTAACTCCGTAACGATCGAAATAATATCCGTAGCGGGTAAATACAATACCGCGAAGAAGCTCCCGTAACTCTTATCTATCCCTAATACTATCCCGTCTAGCGCTCGCAGTCCTCCCGCCTAATATTATCGGCTAGGTATCGTAGCTCCGAGTTAGTAAGAGATGCGTTTAGAATACCGTAATGCTCGAGCCGGTTTTAACGCCGCGAGTAGGGTAGGCTCTACGCGTTACGGGTTAGAGAAGGGCCGCGACTAGAGGGCAATTTATAAGAGCTAAATCGGGAAAATTAGCTCGGAGAATCTAGAATAGTTTCTAGCTAGGTAAGCTTTAGAAGTCCGCTACGCTATAGAGCATTCCCGTAGAGCTTTCTACGGGGATCGTATATACCGATCTACGGGAGATTATTCGATTTATAGTTAATCGAATCTATAACTATACTCTTAAATCTATTCGCGCGATAGTTTATACCGTCGACTATACCGATTTAGTCGACCTCTAATTCGATGTTATCGAAGCTAGAATAAGGTAGATATTGAATCGATTATATAAACTATCTAAATAGCGGCCTAAGAAAAAGCCGTATCGGATCTAGGTTACTATACTACGGGCCTTAATTTACTAGCGATAGGATATCCTATTTGTCGCAAAGACTAGTTTAGGTAAGAGCCTAATCTTCTAGGCTTTTACTATACTTACTAGATAGACTACTATCTAGTTAGTGCCTCTTACTCGGCTCGGGGCGGAGCAAGAAGCGGACTTAAAGAAGATCGTAGGGGAATACGTTAATCCCGTACTAGTTACGAGTAAGGCTAAGCGGCGGGATCTAGATTTGTTTACTAAAATTAGGGCGGGCTAGTACGATTATATTATTCTAGGCCCGGAGTAGGCCGTATCTAACGACTTTAAGGATACCCTAAAGGATCCGAATCTTTCCTTACGTATCGGGCTAGTCGCATTCGATAAAATTTATCTCCTCTCGAAATAGGCTAGCTTCCGCGAGGAATTCCTTATAGTCGCGCAGCTTAGGCAGCTTCTCCGCTAGGACTATATATAGTTTGGCTATACTAGAACCCTAGATGCTATAACCTAAGCCTATATATTGAATTATAGCAGGTTTAGACCGGTCGGGTACGAGCTATATTATTCTATAGTGCTACGGACTAGCATCGATCGCGTTAACTATACGTATATCTTTAAAGAGTTAGATGAAAATACGAAGTCGGTCTATAGCTAGTTGTATTTTGTAATCGAAAAGGCCGTAAGCCCCGCGGGCTCGCCTCTACCCGCTACGGGCTCGAATTTGTCTACTGCTACGCTAGCTAATACGGGCGAAGCCTAGTCCGTAGCGGAGCAACGGGCTACGCTAGCGGAGATACTAAAGACTATTATCTTTATCGATAGTCGCCCGGACGTAATCGCGCTTATAAATCGCGTTCGAGCCTAGCTAGTACTTCGGACTAAGGACCTGTGTCGAGAAAACTAGTATTATTAGGGAAATAGGTCTAATCCTATACTAAACGTTCTTAGAATTGTCTAATTCTATATATCCGCTATGCCTATATACGATTAGGACCTACGGTTTCGTAAGTTTAGCGTAGCGGATAGTACTATCTGTATTATAATTGCTACTACCGCCCTTAGCGTAGGCATTAACATCCGTATAGTGCAAATCGTTATCTAGTAGGGTCTTATATTAGAGTATAACTACCTAAATCTTCGCTAGCGTCTCGGGCGTACCGGTCGGAATATAGTTCCGAGTAATCTTCGTAGCGAGGTATTCGTATTCTAGCTAGCGTAGATAAGGAATACAAAAAAACGGCTTAGGGATTAGCCGGTAGAGGGTAGCAAGGTCCGTAGCGGACCTCGCGTCGCCCGTAAGGGCAAGTTCTAGACGTAGCGGGAAGGATTATACTTAATACTTAACGTCGATGTCTCGCTTAATAGTAATCGAGAAGATAAGAATACCGATACTAAGGACGGCAATTCCGCTACGCCTATAGCTTTACGCGCGCCTCGTATACGCGGTGCCTACTAGTTAAATACTAAAGCGAGCCGCCGCGTAGTAGTCCCGGGGGATCTGCTTAATATATAGAATGCGCCGTGTATTCGCAAAGTGTAGGACGACAAGCTTAGCGAGAATAAGTGCTTAGACCCGAAGGTATCTATATTAAGCGAAGTCTACTATAATCGGTATAACTATAATATACGGAGTGAACTGCCTATACCGCCGGATAGGCAGAACAGCCTTCCCTAACTAGTATCTAATTCGAGGCCTAGTTTCGCATTTACGCGGTTAACGGAGTAGTGTATTACAGTTCTCGAGGATCGCGTAGCGGGGGAATATAGATTCAGAATGCTATAGAATGCACTAATAGATAAGTAGCTTATATATAGCCTTTGTCGGATCTACTAGGATTATTCGAGTATAGACTAGGATACCTTCGATAGCGATATACTTAGAAGTAAGTTAGATTAGCTAGCAGTTAGGAGAAGGACAAAACATCGGATTAGGTATATACTCGACGTATAGGAGTACCGCGATAAGACGATTACTTTTAGGAGCAGCGGAGCAGCCGATTCTAGCGGCGGAGATAGTAACGAATCTAGCGGTGTCGAAACCGTTACTCTTCTCGATCTCCTCGTCTAGTTTATACGGTATATTAAAGAAGATGTAGTCTTGAAATAGATAGAGTATAAGGCGGCGTAGGCAGCGAAGGCCGCTACGGCTAAGGTAGCGAGCGCCGCGAAGGAAGCCAAAGATACGTTGCTTATAGAGATACTAGACGACTAGCGCCGAGCGTATCTACGGTCTACGTAGGAGAACAATATAAATGTAGCGGCGTTAGCTGTCGCTAGTTAAGGACGCCGAATTTAGTAGAGGAGAGCACCGGAAACCGGTAGTATAACTAATTTGCGGAAAATGGCGCTAATAAAGAGTGCACTCGAGGTTAGAGAATAGGCTAGTAGCGGCTCTAATTAATCCTACGGCGGAGATAGTAGCGTACCTACTAGATCTATAGTAATTAATAGGTATCGATCTTTGTAAGGGAGTCCTTCGAGTATATAGGATACTACTATATATCTAGTGTCGGGCCTAACGGGGTAGTAGCGACTAGAAGTAGCGAGCTTCGACTCTAGATACGTATTAGAGTTCCTACTAGATACGGACCTAGCCCTCTCCGCTACGGAAGAGCTATTACCTACGAGGGCCGCTAGATCGAAGCGTAGGCGACCTAATATACCTAAATCTGCTTCCGATATAGGAACACTATCGAAAAAACGTCGTCGTAAGGAGCCTCCCGAGCTAAAGATACTAATCTATAAACAGTCCTATTTTAGTAGGGTACACTAATATACTGCGTCGCCGTCTAGTCGCCCGCTACGGAATACGAAGGTCCCGCAACGGGTAAGACAGTATTTTAGGGTATTAGATCTAGCTCTAGCTCTAGTTTTAGAGTAGACCTTTATTTGCTCCGGTATAGAAGACTTAGATCGCGCCTTCTTTAGTCGTCTTATTTCTAGTTATATATAGCTTTATTTCCGCTACGTATAGCCTAACTTCCGCCGTATATGCCTTGTTCTACTATTATACGTATAACGTATATAACGCGTTTGTTCCGAACTTTACTTTATACGCTATCCGTACGCGTAGTAGCTATATTTAAAAGGACGCTTCTTCGACTTCTTCTCCTTCTCCTTCTTCTATATATATATAGCGATTACTACCTTCTACTACTTTCGACTACTTCTAATTAAGACTTTCTAAATAAGACTATTAAGTCTTACCCGTAGCGGTGCCCTCTTTGTCCGCGTCGACAGATCCGCCTCTCTCTACTACCTCTAAATAAGACCTCTAAGCTTCCTATTAACGAATCTCTAATTATATTTAAGACCTCTAAGTCGTACGATATGTTAGGCAGTAATAGCGGCGGCGGTGCTCCTCGCGGCGGCGGTGCTCCTCGCGGCGGCAGTGCTCCTCGCGGCGGTAGTGCTCCTCGCGGCGGTAGTGCTCCTCGCGGCGGTAGTGCTCCTCGCGGCGGTAGTGCTCTAAGCCGCGGCGGCAACACTCCCTATCTCCTAACTTATAGTCGCGGTAGTAGTCGCCGTCTTTAATTTCGAGGACCTACTCCTAGTAGCGATACCTTATCTAAGTTCTCGAATCTAGGAGGCTACGCGGAGTATACGCGTCGCCTTACGGCGTTATCTACTCTACTAGAGCCGAGTTAGATCTATCTACTATAGTATAAGATTAACGATATAGAGGCAAGTATACGCTAGCTAGACGAGACGGACTAGGACCTACGCGCGCGTATAAACGAGAATTTCGAGGCGGGCTATATCGATCTCCGCGGCGCTCCGTATAAAGAAGATAACCGGCGCGTCCCTTTCGAAATATAGAACAACTAGCACAATAGAGGCCGCCTCGTCGATCGTGCTACGCGCGATCGAATACTAATCTTTAGCCTACGCTTAGGCCTAGCACTAATACTAGGCTTAGCACTAATATTAGGCCCGGTACTACCGCCTCGATTCGGCGTAGGTCTAACCTACGGCGGAACCTATTAACTCCGCTACGAGGCTGTTATAAGAGGGGCTCGCTATGCTTCTAGCGAATCTAGTT